TCACATCTTGGATTCCTTGGCCTTGGCCATAGTCTATCAGATCATCAAGATAAGAGAACATTGGGCAACTTTTTTTCTTCAAAGTATACATTAGTTAGATTTCTAAGTTTAGTTAGTTAGATATTATGTTTCTAGTTTGATAGCATTGACAAACATATGTTTTATAGCTTTTTTTAGGATAATAGGATTTACATTGTCATAATTTATGCTTTTTAAGATTTATATATTATTTTCTTTGTCATTCAATTTTGAAATATAATTTAAATTTCTATTTTGGATTGCCTGATTTAGGTTTTATATTCTGGACTGCCTGGTTTGTTTTATATTCTCGATTATATATATGCAGGTTTTGGGTATATTAAAAAACAATCAAAATATTAAAAAAAAGAACGCAATAATTTACGTCGGACTAGACCATGTCCGACGTAAATTATTGCGTCATTTTTTAGCCCCTTTTTACGTCGGGCACTAGGAATATCTGACGTAAATTTACGTCGTCTTTGACAGGCGACGTAAATTTACGTCTCCCGTATTAACGTCGGAGCCTTTTCCGACGTAAAAGGCTCAAAATCTCTGACATGAAAGACCCTTTTTGTACTAGTGTTTCTTTGACAGAAGGATGTGGAGATCATGTGTATAAATAAGTATGAAAAATATATATTATATAAATATAATTAAAATAATAACCCCGTATACAAGGTACTGAACTCGTAAGCTGACGTGACATCTTCTAAATAGTCTTTAAATGGGTTGTAGTTGCAAGAGAAGCAAAATTGGAATGTGCATTTATGATTATTTTGCAAGTCAGTCGATATTGCAGTACACTAAAATTAATTTTTTTGTGGTAATTAATTTATTATTTAACGATCATATAAATAATTATTATTTTTTTAACCAACAATGGAGACTTTATATTGGCTTTCTCATGTTTGATTGGAAACTGTTCAGTGCTACAAGCTGAATTATGGGCCATTTTTCATGGTTTGAGATTGATAAAGGATAAATTTCTCTCATATCATATAATCATAGAGTCTGACTCAGTACTAGCTACTGAATTCTTGAACAAAGGTTGTCCCAGATTTCATCCGTGTTACTCCCTTATCAACCAAATTGTTAGGATGGCAGGAGGGTTTTACGAAGTAAAGTGTGTTCATATCTTTCGAGAAGCCAACCAAGTAGCGGACATATTTGCTAAATTAGGACTCTCTTTCATAGAGGGATTTCAATGTTTTAACACGCCTCCAATGGGCAAATTTTTTGGTTATTAGCAGATAAGTCTGCTATTTGTTTCCCCCGTGGCTTTTAGTGTTTTTTTGGGCTTCTAAGCCCCTTTGTCAATAAAAAAAAAATATTATTATACTAGCATATTTATATAAAATGTTGGTAAAGATCTACTAAATTGTCGAAAAAATTTATTTTTTTAGTGACAATTTTAGTAGTCATTTTAAAGGCTATTAAAAGTTATTTTTTTTTCAATTATTTCCTTTACTTTAAATAATTTATTCCTATAATTTCATTTTCTAAATTCATAACTTATATACTTTTTTATCTTTACTCGATGTTGTAAGATAAGAGTTGTCTTTTATTTATATATTTTTTAATTTATTTTTTTAATTGTCTTGTCTCTTAAGAAATGTGAGATTTATAAGGTGAAAGTTGCTCTCTAATTGTTTTATAACACTATTGAATTTGGTAATAATGGGTGATTTGATACCAATTTAGAATAGTAAATTAGGAGTCAACCCTATAAAACGAACCTGTAAGGTGATAGTTATTACTCACTTATATACTATTTAATTATTTTATCTTTAATCGATGTGGAACTTAAGTTTTTTCTAATAAATAATTGTCGCTAATAATAAATTTTAGTATAATATAAATATATTTTTAGTGGCTATTATATATTAACCATTAATATTTTTATATATGACGGCAATTAAATTATTATTATTAAATAATTATCGTTAATAACAAATTTTGTTGTAGTGTTGCCATAGACGATCTTCCATGTCTCAGAATGGAGTGATGCAGATTGCTAAAGATCCAGCGAAAAAATATCAAAAGAAAAGAAACATCTTTTCCATTAGTTAATTATATATTAGATATGAATACTTTGATGACAAAATTAAATTGCGCAATGGCACTCATAATTCTTAATATATGTAAATAAACATGTTACTTTTTCTTGAGTATTTTTTTCTTTTTGCAATTTGACTCGACAACTGATTTTAGAGATGAATTTTTAAATTTAAGTTTGATGAAAGAATAGATTACTAAAATCTTCCTCAATAAAAAGGGCTATGAATCTCTTTCTACCTTTATCAAGCCTTTCACATGAGGTTCTTAAAGAATTGAATAATGTATAAATTATAGTATTATTATATAATAAAATATTATATATACTATTATGTGTTGTTAGTTATATATAAAAATATATCAATGCATGTATAATTATAATATAGATTATAATAATTATATAATAGTATAATTTATAATTTAATTAAAATTTTATATATTACAAATAAATTAAAATGAATTTATATGAATATTTGAAAATTCTAAACTTATTTAAAATAACTAGAGGTGTATGTGTGCACATTCGTATGTGTGTGTTTGTATATATATATATATATATATACATATATATTGTTAGAAAATATTATAAGAAAATGAAAGAAAAATAGTATTTTATTTGAATATATTATTAGCCACTACTCTAAAAACAAATTTTGGTGGACTTCTAGTACAATTTAAAATTGAATTTTTTCCTAGTGTGTACACAACATTGTGTCTGAACGTGTACACTTGATGTCAAACTACATTAGAGTCTCATGAATAATGCTTTGAACAACAAAGAGTAGGATAGGTAATACTAATTAATTTTTTAAAATCATCCTCAAGTATAAAGTCTTTAAATCTCTCTTATTCTAATGTGTTCAAGATGTTACAAGAGCAACAAAAGAGACATGAGTTTATAAACATATAAATGTCTTCATTGGTATGAGGTCTCTTGAGTAATCATTGAAAGTAAATTCATAAGGATTTAAGTTCAGTGTAAACAATATCATACTAATATGAAAATACATACGTGTAAATTCATGATGTATAACAATTGTTGATTTTAAGGTGGCTAAACATTTTAGAAAGGACTACTTAAGAAAAGTTTGCATCGATAAAAAGTTTTAACAAATAAAGAGTTAGGTGTAATGTCATTGTGTGATGCATCATATAATGCAACTATTAAGATGTGAAATCTAATTAAGATGTGAAATCTAAGAGTCATTATGTATAATATTAAAGGTAATCATATCCACCAATTGTTCAAGTGCTTCATCCAAGAAGAATTCTTTGTATCCAACTTATCAATGCAATTTGAATTAGCAACATTGAGATTATCAACATGTTCTTGCAATATGTCGTCTTGTTACCTAATACTCTCACACTTCAGTCGGTAAATGTTTCAATCTCATATTCTTAGCAAATAAACTATTTAGTTTATGCAAATTCTAGCATTCAATATTTTAGTTTGACATTGATATCGTTGTATAACCAATCCTAATTAAATTGGTGTTTTGCGATTGTAGTGAAAAATATAATTTTTTTTATCATTTAAGAACTAATATGATGAATCTTATGTTTTCAACCATTAAAATAACTTCTTATGAATTACAACCAAAATATCAATATATGAATAAAATAAGAAAAATTAAAGTCAGTTAATCATCAAATTATAAATTTAGGTGAAATTTAAACATAATTTTGACTTTATTAGAAAAAAATACTAGGCTTAAATATGTTTTTAGTCCCTCAAATTTAAGAAAAATTTGTTTTTGGTCCCTCAAATTTAAAACTGTTGTTTTTAGTCCCTGTAATTTTCAAAAATCTTGTTTTACTCCCTTAAGTCACCAATAACATATTTGAAAATGACTAATTAAGACAGTTATGCAATATTAACCGGATTTAATGTGATATTTTCACTAATAGGGACATGAATAGGTAGATTTTATGCAATAATGTTTGATAAATTTTTTAACAAAATTTGAATATAAGGACTAAAATAAGATTTTTTGAAATTACAAGGACTAAAAACAACGATTTTAAATTTAAGGGACCAAAAATATATTTATCCTAAATTTGAGGGACTAAAAACATATTTAAGCCAAAATACTATTATGACCGAATAATCACATTCAAGAAATAGTGCAAATCAATCTCCTTATTCATGATAATAAAAATGAAAGCAAGAAAATACATAGTTTTGAAATACTTCACACAAGACAAACACGAACGTTTACCCAAAATAGACTACATAAATACATGTACCAAGTTCACACAGCTAACTAACATATAAGAATTACAAACTTTCATAACAACTAGGAGATAATCGTGGCTTAATAAGAACCTGAAGTGGGGTGGCTTTACCATTGGCTATTCCAAAGGTTTCAGTCATATCAATAGGTTCGGTTGACGAATTTAAGATCTCAAAGGAATGCAAAAGACTTGCAAGAGTAAAATGAACAGTATGAAGGCCAAAGGATATTCCAGGACAAATCCTCCTACCACTTCCAAACGGTAATAGCTCAAAATGATGACCCTTCACATCAATATCTTTATGAGTAGTAAAAAATCTTTCTGGTCTAAACTCTAATGGATCTGACCACACATTAAAATCTGTGTGAATTTTCCAAAGATTTGTAATTAGACGAGTTCCTTTCTTGATATTGTATCCACTTAAAATGCAATCATCTGTGAATTCACGAGGCGTTGAGAGGGGAACAGGAGGGTATAATCTCAAAGTTTCTTTGACTATGGCATGAAGATATGTTAACTTACTTACATCAGACTCACATATGCATCTTTGTTTTCCAACTTGAATATCAAGTTCTGCTTTAACTTTTTCTAATACAAGAGGATTTCTCAGTATCAAACTTATTGCCCATGTCAGAGTGCTACTGCTTGTGTCAGTTGCTCCCAAAATTACTGTCTACAAATCAAATATGTGATCAAAAACCTTTTATAAGTGAGAGTTTCTAAATCAATAAATAAAGAAAATTGATATGATTTTTGCTTGTTTAAGAATTTATTATTTCGAATACTTTGAATCTTTTTACATGAATATGAAAAGACTTTAGCATGTTATTACGATTTTGGAATGATACCATTGTACTTGGATTTATATATTTTTCATATATATTATTGAAAAGATAGAAATATCATATTTTAATGAGAAACGATTTAGCAATTAATTTTATTATTCATTATATGAATAATTAAATACTAAAATATAATGTAGTCGTATCTTAAAAGAAAATTTTGATTTTTTCCTTTAAATTTTAATTTTGAGTTAATGTTATCCATTTGATATAGTGACCGAGACCTAATTTTAAATACTTTTTGATTAATTAAATATATGAAACATGTTCCATTATATTCATGAAAATTATAAAACTCAATTTATTCTTGAAAAAAAAAATTCAAAGTGAATCTCAAACAACTGAATTTTTTTTTTAAAAAATGTAATATATATATATATATATATAATGATTAATTGTGCCTTAATGGTAGATTTAAATTATTAGTATTAACTATGTCGATTATTATATGCAAATTATATTTTTTTAATCATTTATAAGACAAAATTAAGAATATTTTTATAAGTGATTAAATTGGATGGACGCGAGGTATAAAATACACAAATGTAAGGTAATCACTCCTATATCATTTATCACTTTTATCATTTTCTTTCTATTTACTGATATTTTTCTTTAATTTTATCTCTTTCATTTCCACAGTCTACACCCCTATACGTTTATCACAGTTGATGACTATATTGAAGATTTAGTTATGTCGAAAAAAAGAAAAATAAAAGACAACGGTGCTAACAATCTTGACGACTACATGAAGAGTATAGGTCCCGTATACATTACCTCTACGGTGGATTTGATGATGGTATCGGCATCGATCCCCTCAATTGTTTTTCCATCAAGCAAGGAAATCATCACATCCATGAAGTCTTGAACGTTCTCACCCAAAGCCCTCTTTTTTCGATGCTCCTCTAACCACTCACTTAACATACTATCCAATTCCTTGCCAATTTCTTTCATGGCCTTCTCATGGCCACCAAAATCAAACCATCTCAAATAAGGAATAGCATCTCCCACTGTGAACACGCCAAACAGACGCAAGAACTCCTTCATAGCTTTTACACATCTCTGTGCCTTCTCATCATCCACACTTGCAGCACCAAAGTATCGCTTTCCAACGGTCATTTGAAAAATAATGTTGAATGTCAAATGAGAAAACCATTGCTTCAGCTCCACCAATGCATAACCAGCAGACTCGCTCTTTGTGCTACTCCAAACATCAAGGAGCTCTTTAATCGAATTTCGAATTTCTGTCACACGAATATGTTGTAGTTGCTCTACTCGACGAGTGGAAAGAATTTCTGATGTTATAATCTTTCGTAACTCCCGCCAATAAGGACCATAGGGTGCTACGGCAAACATGGCTTGGTTGTAGCCTAAGTGCTCAACGGCAACAAGCTTAGGGCGAGAGGAAACGACGGCGTCGTTTTTGGTGAAGCATTCCTTAGCCACTTCCCAATTGCTTATTATTAAAGCCTCTTTGACACCAAGCTTGATAGTGAATATGGGTCCATACTTGTCAGCTAAAGCACCCAAGGTTCTATGTGGTGATTGTGAGCCACTCAACAACGGGAGGTGGCCAAGTATTGGCCATGCCCCTGCAACCGTGGGAGCCTCTTTATTTTGACCAAATTTGAAGGGATGATACAAAAACAAATAGAAAAGGAAGAGGAACAGAGAAAGAAGTCCAATGGCAGTTGCATTTAGGTAATTTAGAACAAAATCCATTTTAGCCAAGTTGTACTTTGAAGTTATACAAACAAAACCCTAAACCCTTAAATAGATCCTCCGTTTATATGAATATTTATGCTTGTGATATAATCAATTTTGTATATTAAACACCAAATTTTATACGAGAGTGATTTTAGAGTTTTTTTTTTTCAATAATTTTTATATGAGAGGATTTTAGAGGATTTTATTCGCCACTTCCGATCATGGAAACATTGTGTTATTTTTAATATACAACAATGCTGGCGACAGAACAGCATTATTATTTTTCCTGTACAACAGATATGAGTTTAGTATCTACAATGAAAGAATAAGTTAATTAGGTAGTGTTTGTTTTCGCTGATTTACTATTCACGAGCAACGAAAGGCAAAGAAAGTGGCCGTTTGTTTCTGTTGATTTGCGAGGATAGAAAGGCGAAGAAAAGCGGGAGAAGCCTCGTTGCCATCGTCGTGCTATTGCGAAGAAAAGAGATGAAAGTCGCGTAAGATTTGAGAAAACCCGATAATACCCTGTCCAAAAACTGAAAAGAGGTCAAAAACTAAAGCGAAAATATGTCAGCATAATCGATTATGCATGACACATATATAATCGATTATGGCAGCCCATAATCGATTATGGGACATACATAATCGATTATGGTAGCACATAATCGATTATGGGCCAGCATAATCAATTATGCATGGCACATAATCGATTATGTATAGAATCGATTATGTGCTATACATAATTGATTATGTGACATATTTTCGCTTCCAAGCATGCCCAGAACGGGCCGTTCCAAAATTGGAACGGCCCGTCCAAATTACCAAAACAAGAGTAATTTAGTAGCCTGGAACGGGTCGTTCCGAAACTGAAACGGGCAGTTCCGAAATTGGAACGGGCCGTTCCAAACTAGTAAATTGGCTTAAAAACTCTAGTTGAGAACGGACCGTTCCAAATTGACATAAAATGCAACCCCAAATTTGTAATGTTAAAAATTTCATTTTTTAATTGGTAAAAATTAACTTGTACAATTAATAAATATATCTTCATCTCATTCTAATTTATGTCAATGATTTATTAATTTTTTTAATTTATTAATTAACTTTCAAAAATTTTATTGTACATTTTTTTTTTATATTAAGAAAATTCTATTATTTAAATATTGACATTAAAAAGTGAAAATATAAAAAAAATAAAATAATACATGTTTATAAAATTAAAATAATAACACTTTCATAAATATTAATAAAATAATGTTAAAAAATATAATTATCATAATATATTTTGTTATTATTATTTATTATTATAAATATTATTATTATTATCATTATTATTAATATTATTATTATTTATTATATTTAATATCATTATTATTTATTATGATTAATATTTATTATTATTATTATCATTATTTATTATTTTTTAATAAATTATACCTATTAATATAATTTTATTGTAATTGTTATTATTTACAATAAATATTTTTAATCCAAAGGTAAAAGTGTAAATTACATATAAATCTATTAAATTTTTAATTTTTATCTATCATTAAATTTAAAGCAAATATTTAAATTAAATTATTTTTAAATTAAGATTTTATATTTATTTTTTTAGTTAAAATTTTTTATATTTTCTTTTAATTATAATAATTATAAATTTTTTTAACCTAAGGGCAAAATAGTAATCTTACAAAATCATCAATTAAAAAATTTATTTTTATCTATCACATCAATCAATTCACTTACAAACTTTCACAAACTTTCTCTACACTTTTCACTCACTTTCCCTTAATCCAAACAATCACACTTTTCACTCACTTTACCTTCAAATCCCTCCTTGTCCATTCCCCTTTTTTCATCGTCAAATCCAAACAAAACCTTAATTTTTCCTAATTATCAATTATAGTGACGTCAGTGGAATATTTTTTGACATCAGTCAATCTTATTTGATGGACAATATATTTATAAAAAAAAAAGATTCTTTTGTCACCTAACAATAATTGAGCAGTAGACTGTAGTTGTATTTATTATTTACAATTTAGTCTTGTATTTTAATTTTCTAGATGTATCTTATCTGTAGCAAATGGACAAAATACTCCAATGATCACAGCTGTTAAACACCGAACTTTTTTTTTTATGACCCTTAAATAGATCCTCCGCTTATAGGAATATTTATGTTTGTGATATAATCAATTTTGTATATCAAACACCAAATTTTATAAGAGTGATGTTTTAGAGGATTTTTTTTAAAGTAAGTTTGTAGACTTTTTTTTTTAATTTAAATTTTTTAATTTTTTATATAATTCAATTTTTATTTATTATAAGTATTTGTGAAATAAATTTTAATATTTTAAAATAAATTATCAATAATAAAAATAATATTATAAATTTAATTATATATATAATTAATAAATATTTAACATATGTATTATACATACTAATATACTAGTTATAATTATAATTTTAAATAATTTTCTATATATGTGATTAGATAAAGATGATAAGTTTATAAAAACGAATTTATTAAGTTTTCCGGATGGAAGTTATTTAATTTTCTAATAAATTATTTATTTTTGTCTCCATGCTATCAGTTTTAACTTTAAAGGAACTGATGTTAACAAATTGAATTATAAATATGGATAGATAAACTAGACGGTGTTTATTTTCCTTCAAATACAAGATGAAAATATCATCAAATTAATTTCTCAAGTTCATAAAATAATATTGCTGCTTAATAAAAAAAAATTGTATATTTTAATTTTAAATATGTTTTTAATCTCTATAAAATTAACAAGTCTTGATTTTAGTCTCTGTAAAAATTTTCCTTTGTTTTCCATCCTTATAAAATTAAAATTATTGTTTTTAGTTTTATTTTTATATGATTATATTTTAACCAATTTTTATTTATTAACAAATTAAGTAATCATCTTAAGTTTCAACTACAATTATTACGTATATCATATTAATATTTAGCACTTCAAAAAAATTTATAAATCCTTAAAATAAATGTTATTTATTTACCTTAAAATGATCATTAAGGACTAAAAATAATTGATTTAGATATTAGACGGATGGAAACCAAATAAAAATATTTTATATGATTAAAATCAAAATTTAATCATTTTATAATAACCAAAATCAATGTTTATAAAGTTTAGAAGGATGAAAAAAAAATAGTAGAACTAAAATCAAAATCATCAATTTATTAGGATTAAAACCATAGTTAAACATATATTTTATATATAAATTATTAAGAGTGAGTAAGATCCAATTCATTTGTTGACCTAATTAATTTATTATTGATTTGAATGATCTAAATTTTAATATTAAATTTAATATCATTTGTAATGCACGTTCATATTATATTTTGAATTATTCTAATTTATTTTATATTTTTTAAAGAATAATTTTTTTAGAACATTATGCATTAATAATAATATATTATTTTAGTAGAAAATATGTAATGTAATATTATATTTATAATATTATTATTTATCATAAAATTAATATTATATAAAATATATCTCAATTTAAATTTTATATTTGAATATTTTATAATTTAATCATATATAATATTAATATTAATATATTACTAAAAACATAAATTAATCTAATTTCTTCATATTTATTTTGGAGTCAATAAGATTAAATTTAAACATAAATAAATAATTTAATCAAATTTTCAGTTCAACTATAAACAATTAATAATAAACCTATCCCAACCAGTACTTTATTCACCACTCCGATCATGGAAACTGTTTATTTTTAATATACAACAATGCTGGCGAAAGAACAGCATTATTATTTTTCCTGTACAACAGACATGAGTTGACAATACAATTAAAGGATAAGTTAATGTTAGTTTTCCCTAATTTTCAATTATAGTGACGTAAGTCGAATATTTTTTTGACATCACAGTAAATCATATTTGATGGACAATATATTTATAAAAAAAAAATCTTTTGTCACCTAACAATAATTGAGCAGTAGATCGTAGTTGTGTTTATTATTTACAATTTAGTCTTGTATTTTAATTTTCTAGATGTATCTTGTATTGTAGTAAATTATTTTAGAAGGCACATAATACTATAAAAGTGTCATTTTTTAAATGAATTTTCTTGTAAAAAAATATTCGTAGAAATTTTTTGCGAATTTTCTTGTAAAAAAATATTTACAAAAATATTTTTGCGAATTTTCCTGTAAAAAAATATTCGCGTAAATTTTTTGCAAATTTATTTGCGAAAAATAATTTACAGATATTTCTTACAAATTTTGCTACAATTTTAATAATCATTGAATTTTTTTTCAATGGTAAAAATTTGCAGAAAATATTGTAAGAATTTTATTTTGTTTCTTGTAGATTTTCTTGCAAAAATAAATTCGCAAGTAATGTTTAATAAATGATAGAAAATTTTGCAGGTAACTTTTTCTGCGAATTTTCCTGCAAATTTTAGTCCGCAAGAAAAATAAAAAATATATTTTAAAAAAAACTTCAAGTCTCACATCGATTGAAAATAAAACAATTAAAGAGTGTATAAGTTGGGGCAATACTTACCTTACAAGTTAATTTGTATGGTTGAGTGTTAGATTTATAATCTACAATTTTAGAATTTAAAAGATTATGTATCACATGTTGGAGGCATGGAAACAAATGCTTCGGATGAATTCATTGTGAGCATTTGAAAGTTAAAAAATTATTAATAGAATTTATAGGAATTTCTTTAATTTTTTCATAAAAAATATTCCTGCAAATTTTGCTGTGAAATATTTTTTGTAGGAAACTTTCCTGCAATTTTTTTTTGCAAGAAACTTTCCTGCGAATTTTTTTCGCAAGAAATTTCGCAGGAAAATTTCCTGCAAATTTTAAAAGTCGCAAAAATATATTATTCACGTAGGTATTACTTGCAGATAAAATTTCACAGAAAATTTGCAGGAACGATTCTTGCAAATTTTTATGAAAAATTCATAGGAAAAGTTGTGACACCCTTACTACCCCAACACATGTATTGTAATAATGAAAACTTAACAAAAACAATTTTCAGTTTCGGTAAAAGGGTTCACATGAGAATCTTCAAAATTATTCTTCAAT